TTGACCGTCGAAACGTCCATTGACCGTCGACCGATCGGTGACTACTGATAGTTGACAAGGTGAGTTTACGGTTGACTTATGAAAAAACCATGAAATTTGATTTCTTTTAGCAAAATTGAGATAATTCCAAGACTTGAAAGTTCGTAACTGTAAAAAAAATCACAAAAATGAAAAAGTCTGATTTTTTTTAAAAAATCACTAAAAGATTTGTAAAAAGATTAAGAATGTTTGAAAAAAGTTCAAGACCTGGAAAATTCGTAATTAGAGAAAAATGAACAAAAGTTCACGAATTTGAATTTTTTTTCATAATTGGAGCAAATCTTGAAATTTCAAAAAAGTTCATGAATTTGAGAAAAAGCTCGCGGATTTGAATAAAATTCCACATATATTTTTAAAAAACGTTCACAAATTTTGGGAAAAACTCATAATTTGGAAAACATTTGTAAAGCAAAAAAGTTCATAAACTTGATTTTTTATAGATTTGAGAATGAGTAAAAAAAGATTTTGAAAAAGTTTAAAAATTTGGAAAAAGCGCATGTATTTGAAAAAATAAATAAAAATAAACCATTGTAAAATCCATGTAAAAAAAACTTAAAGAAAAAACGCCCAGAAAAACCAGCAAGAAATAGCCCTAGCGTGTTTTTTTTAGAAAAGCTTGGCAGGCCCTTATTGATTAGCTAAAATGTTCTTACGAATTACAATTGGGTCACGCTAGGTGCCCAACCACATATGCCTCCCTACAGGAGGAGAAACACCGGACCTACTAGCAAGCCTATGAGCCTCATAGTTGGACTCTTGAGGTTAAAAAGAAAAATTACATAACAAAAATAACGTAGAAGCCCGTAAGATCTCTCTAAGGGTGGTACCATGGTCTCATCCAACTCTTTGATGGAAATGATGCACCACTTGGTTACAATCTGAAGAGATTTGAAGGTGATCCATTCCAAGATCCTACGCCAGAGACATCCCCTCTCTACATGCAATCGCCGCAAGTGTTGTTGAATGACCATCATAGATGAGCCTAGAAAATTGCCATCACGAGCTCGACACACAGCCGCTGCCGTAGGGAGTTCCTATGCGCCGCTCGTTGCGGCAAACAGTCGGCCCCCCACACAGGAGTGCCCCGACTGGGCCGGCCCATGTATAGGATAGAAAAAATCTATAAAAGAAGTAGATGTGCATCGGCTAGGGATCGAACTCACGCCAGCCAGCTCTGTACGCGCGATACTAGCCACCACGGCAAGTAACTAGCAGCATCATGTTTACTGTTGTGTACAGATTTTTTTAATTATTGCACACAGTTTAGGAAACAAGAAAAACACGATTTTTTTTGGAAAATTTAAAATTTCGAAATGGTATTTAAATTATACAAAAATAACTAGAATTGGAAGCAGTTTTTGAAAATTTTAGAACATTTTTCAGAAACAAGATCAAATTTGTAAACACGATTTTTTGAATTACCAACATTTTAACAAATGTTTCGAACATTTTCTGAAAAAGTGAACAAATTACGAAATACAGAATGTTTTTGAAAGAGTGAACAAATATGTGAACCGAATAATTTTTGAAATGTTCAAACATTTTTTGAATACTTGCACATATTTTGTAAAACCAAACAATTTTTAAAATTCCAAATCTTTTCCCAAACATGAACAAAATTTGAAAATCTTGAACAATTTTTGAAAATTTGAATAATTTTTAATATGCCAAACATTTTTTAAAACGTGAACAAAAGTCAAAAATTCTGACGAACTTTTGGAAAAATGAATAATATTCAGCATTCCGAACATTTTTTAAAACACGAAGAAAATTTTAAATTACTGAACATTTTTGGAAAATTATTTTTTCGAAAGTTCTGAACATTTTATAAAAACATGAACAAAATTTGAAAGTCCCGAACATTTTTTGAACAGAAGAGAACAAAATTTGAAATTCTGAACAATTTTTTGAAACATGAACAAAATTTGAAATTCACAAACATTTCCCGAATAGAAGGGAACATAATTTGTAATTATGAATATGTTTTGAAGAGTTTAACAGGTTTTAGAAAATTTTATTTCTAAATGTTAAAAAATAAACAGAAAAGGAAAAAGAAGATAAAGGTAACAAAAAAGGAACAGATAACAAAAACCAAAAAAAGAAAAAGGAAAATAAGGAAAAAATTATGAAAACCGAAGAAAACAATAAAAAAAACAGCAGAAAAAAAAGAAAAAACCAGACCTGGACCGGTTTGAAACCTTCTAGAAGGTTCCCAAAACTGGAATCAGTGCAACGTGCAACGGGCCGGTCCATTTAGTCGCTCCCGGCGCCAGGTCTGTGTGTTTGCACGACGGAAATTCCTATTTGCCGCTCTTTGCGGCAAGTAGTTGAGGGAACGCACACAGGCAGATCGACGAGCGCCACGATGGGCCAGCCCGTTTAAACGTTTGAATCCGGTTTTGGGAATCTTGTAGGAGGTTCCCAGCCGCTTTTTTCTGTTTTTGGGAACCTTTTAGGAGATTCCTGAATTGGATTTTTTATTTCCTTTTTTGTTTCTTTTCTTTTCATTTACTGTTATTTTTTTGTTTTAATTTTCTCTTTTCTTTTTCTGTTTTTTTCTTTGTTTTGCTCTTTTCTTTTTTTTCATATTTCTTTTGGTTGACAATTTCAAATGTTTTATTCAGAATTTGATGACATATTCTCCGTTTCAAAATTTGTTCCCAATTTCAAAAAAGTGTTCAAATTTCAGAAAATATTCCCATTTTCAAATTTTGTTCACAATTTCAAAAAATGTTCATGTTTCAAAAAGTCTTTCAGGATTTTCAAAAAAAAATCTTGTTTTAAAATTTTGTTGACAATATGAAAAACTGTTCATATTTTAGAAAATATTCAGTAATTTCAAAAAATGTTCCCATTTTCAAATTTTGTTCACAATTACAATTTTTTTTTGTGATTCAAACAGTCTTTCAGGATTTTCAAAACATGTTCTTGCTTTAAAATTTTGTTGACAATTTCAAAACATGTTCGTGTTTTAGAAAACGTTCAGTAACTTCAAAAAATGTTCCCATTTTCAAATTTTGTTCACAATTTTAAAACATGTTTGCGTTTCAAAAAGTCTTTCAGGATTTTAAAAAAATGTTCTTTTTAAAAATTTTGGTCACAATTTCAAAAAAAATGTGCTTTAGAAAATGTTCAGTAATTTCAAAAAATGTTCTCGTTTTGAATTATTGTCATGTTCATGTTTTAAAAAATGTTCAAGAATTTCTAACCAAATACTCGTTTCAGAATATGTTCAGAATGTCATTCATAAAATGTTCATGTTTCAGAAAATGTACAGGAGTTTAAAAATATGTTCTCATTTCCAAAATTTGTTCTCAATTTTAGAAAGATGTTCGTGTTTCTAAAAACGTTCAGGAATTTCAGAAAATATTTTTTGTTTTAAAAAAATTCACAATGTCAGAAAATATTGAATTTTTCCAAACTTGTTCATGTTTTAGAAAACTGTTGGGTTTTGCAAAAAAAAACTTTTTTTGTCTAAATTAGGATTGCAAAAATTGTTCACATTTTTTCGGGAAAAATTTTGGAATATCAAAAAATATTTGCGGTATTTCAAATTGTTTGAAATTATCAAGAAATGTTTCTAAAATATTTTCCCCAAATCTCAACCCTGTTGTTTGTTGTTAAAGTGTTTGGCGCCTTAATGTTGGACAACAACTTTGTGGTGGAGTGGCTAGCTGATCGTGGCTGCTTGTTTTTCGGGGTCTTTTTACGTCGCTGTGCTTTCGCTTGATGGGCCGGCCCAGTCTGCGTCGCCCTTGTGCGTCAAGCTCCTGTTTTGACGCAAAATTCGTCACATAGAAAGGTCTTGCACGACAACTCGACGCAATAAGCGTCGTATAGGGTTTTCCGCTGCCCCGGTCTGATGATACTCCTGCATCTACACTAATTTACACGAGAAATAGGCGTTTCCTATTGAGGGCTGCAGGCGCCCGTCTGTGTGCATTTCGCAAACCGGCCCGGCTGGACCGGCCCATGTAGGGGTGCCCGAAGTTTTCCTTCTTCTATATTTTTAGAACGCAAAAAAAGGGGTGGAGCGGATTGGGACTCGAACCTGGGACCTCCCGCGCCACTGCATGCTTCTGTTACCACCCCGCCACGCACAAGGTAGTGATAAGTTTTAACCTTTCCTCTCTTTTATTCTCTCCTTTTCCTTTTTTTCCTTTTACATTTTCCCTTTTTTGTTCCCTGTTTTTTCCTTTTTGTACAACAAGGTTCCCCCTGCAATGAACTTTTTTTCAAATTCAATGAACTATTTTGAAATTCTATGAACTTTTTCAAATTTGATGAACTTTTTTTCAAAATCGATGAACTTTTTTTCAATTTCGATGAAATTTTTTCAAATCGATGAACTTTTTTCGAATTCCTGAAGTTTTCTCAGTTCACGTTTTTTTCAGATTGTACGAACCTTTCCAATTTTATGAACTTTCTTGAAATTCACGTTTTAATATTTTGCATTCATTTTATCATAAAATAATACCAGGCTGGCTATATAATAAGGGTTATTTGTCCTCAAAGTAAACATCGTAGGGACTTTGGCCTAGTGCCTGTGTTCGATTGTTACTGCTCAAAGGGTCAGAGATCGAATCCTGTCTCCACCTTATTTTCGAGCATTTTTTTTGCGATCTAACAACCTCGCTGCGTTTCTTGGGCCGGCCCAGTTCGCGTCTGTGCAGGCGCCAGCGGCGCGAATCGGCGCTCACAGCGTGATGGCGGCGGGAATGAATTACTGCTTGCAAGCCAGCATAAGTTTTTTTTAGGGGGACAAGCCCGCATAAGTGACAATCGATGCAAGAAAAGTAAGGCCCAACCTGATGAAGCCCATCTCCTGCAGTCCGAAGAAAAATATCTCCCCGTCTCTCACATCCAACCTCTCTCTCTGATCGTTCCCTTCGCCTATCTGCAGGTCTGCATCCACACAACACAAGCCCACGCGCCCCCAAACCCAAAACCCTACCACGTCCATGGCCCCTCCCTCGCCGCAGCCGCCTCGCCCCTCCGCCGCCGCCGACGGCGGCCCCGCCCCCTCCGCGGCGCCGGTCGACGCGCTCTTCCTACAGAACCTGATGAGCCGCGTCCAGCTCCGCCCGCCCTTCCTCGACACCAACTCCTTCCTCACCCAGGACCTCGACGACTTCCTCCTCAACGAGTTCGCCGCGCTCTCCGCCGCGGCGGGCGAGTCCGATGATGATGACGACGAAGAAGGGGAGGACGGCGGCCTCTCCGACGGGGAGGTCTCCGGGGAGGCCAGGCGGCGGCGGATGCTCTCGCGGGAGGAGACCAAGCTGGAGAAGGAGATCGTCAGGATGGTGCTCGCCGGCGACGGGGACGCCCTTAAGCCCAACTCGGGCCAGTCCGTTGCCGTCGGCGACCACCACGTGTGCGTCGGCTTCCACGACGAGGCCGGCGGGGAGTACCGCGTCTGGGAGTGGCACGGCCACGTCATGCTCTTTGACGACGAGGACGGCTACTCCGCCGAGTACATCTACGGGAACCACTTCGAGCCGCTCGCTGCCGCCACTGCCAGGGCCAAGCAGAAGGAGAAGGAGAAGAGAGAGAAGGACCTCACCTCGGGCCTTCGGGATTTGATTGTGGGTAATGGGGACAGTGCCAATGGCTTGAATTTGAATGGCAATGGCGGAGGCCCCAGGGTGGTGCGCAGGAACGTAGTAAATTCCCCTGCAGCAGCGCCTGCAAGGTAATCCTTTCTAGCAGTTTGCACCGGGCTGCTCGAAGTGAATGCATCAATACCAGGGGCAGAGCCAATAAAGTTTAATCTTTTTTCTCTAATGCTTGTTTAAGCGGTCTCTTTTGATCTAAGGAGAAAGGCTCTGTAATTCACTTTTGGCATGATATATACAATGTGCCCACTGGATTTTGGGATGAAATTTTTATTTAATAGTGCAAATATGTGCTGTTTCTTGAGTTAGCTCCATTTTTTTTCTCCTCATATGAACCTACCAGGATACAAATTGGAGATAACACATAAGCCTCTGCTAATTACTTGTTAATATTTGTTCATACTTCACATCCTCTTTGTTTACTTGTTACTGTTGCAAGCCTGTAAGTGCATTGGAACTTTTATACTTTAGGTTAGCGGTGAAATCATAGTGGTTAGTACCACCGGGTGATTATTTCTAAGTCTGGAGGAGTGCGGTGTACCTTTAATCGGCTCTCTTGAAGGTAATAATGTATTTATGGGGATTGGGCAAATGGATCAAACATAGGTAGACCACTTAAGTGAACCACTGTTTAATTGTTGTCCACTTTGGCGTGATTCAAACTGAATTTCCACTTTTTGTGACCTATTCTGATACAAACCTTGAACACAATTGATGAAGATGGGCCAGAATTATTTCTTAACCCCCTGCTATTATTCAACCTTTGGATTTTCTGACTATGTAATTGTACTGGTGATCATTCCCCAAGAAAACTCAGTAGGATTGTCTTTTTGTTTGCCTAAAGCTTAAATATTGGATTTGGGTTGCATTTCATCATCTCATTCCTCCTTCGTTTTATTTTGATGGTTTTTAGGGCTGCATTGTTGGTTGGCCCTAAAATCCTCTTGAATGTTCAAAGCTCTATAGTAGTGACAATCTTAATATTGTGTTAGTCTTACTGAATTGTATTGCACTGGTGTTTCTTGATTTTTGGAGTTGCAACTTACAATTGCTACTAGTTAGTGTAAAGGTTAGTGACGAAGTCTTAATCTTCTAACCTCATAGCTTTTGCTGCACTTTCTGAAAGCCTGAAGATATCACCCTTTCTGATCCTTATCTTGTGGGGGAGCTACACTTATGTACAGATATATTAAATCAACTTAATTGCATTTGTTGTCCACAGCTTCTGTAATGTTTGACTTTCTTAAATCCTGAAGACATATGCACCCTTTCCGATCCTTATCTTGTGCAACAGTTATACTTAATCTTCTAGCGTCATAGGTTTTGCTGCATTTTCTGTAAGCCTGGAGATATATGACTGCTGGCTGTATTTTGCTTCCAGAGATGTTGAAGTGTTCTACATGCATATCTTGTTGGAGGGCTATACTTTTTTTTTTGAGAATTTGGAGGGCTATACTTAAGTGAACTAAATTAGTTTTGTTGCCCACAGGCCACGGCTTCTGTAATGTTTGACTTTTAGTGAAGAGTTTAATACATCTTCAAACAAGATTTAGATAGACAAATGTTTTACGAGCTTGTGCTGAAAATCAAATAAACATGCATCTTACTTTTTCATAGTACGGGTCATGAAAATATGCTGCTAAGTGATAACATTTTCAAATCATTTGGAGCCTTGGACACGTAACCAAATTCTTTCAATGGATTCTGCAAAACTAGATTTTTTTGCTCCCTCTTTCAGTGAACTATTTCTGAATCCATTCTAGTTATGAAGGGCCTGATATTTATGGTAGGAGGTGCTGATTATTATTATTGGTCATATAGAGCTTTGGTAATTTAGTCTATCCTTGACGGAGACACCTGAACTCCTATCATTTGACTATTCGAGCTTTCAGTTTTGTTCCGTCGCCAAAAATCGACAACAAGGATGTCCTTGCATAAGAGTCAAGATTCTCTTAACCATAAACCAAGTGCTTTGCAAATCGAGTATCTTATCTGACATATCAATCATTGAGCTTTATTCTGCATTTAGTTACCTTGCATCTTCCAAATCTGTGTCTGCTGCCGTAATGCATAAAGGTTATTGTTTCGAGTCACTTTCGTCTATGAGTAGTTTCTTCCAAGTTTGATAATTTGCTTCATTTAGATGCCGCCTGCATTTCAAATGGGTTAGCCTGCACGCAATGTTTTTTCCCTGCGGTGGCTTCAGTCTTATATCTTTATCTTGTGTAGCTTGGGCGCTCCGGTTGCACTTTCGACTATCCGTGTGAAGTCAGATGAGTTAGCCATCACGCTATGTTGTTCCTATTTTTTGCCATCTATCTCTGCATCATTTTTTATGTCTGTCGTCTCGTAGTTAAGTGAGATATACGCGGTACATCATCCTGGCTGTTTTAGTTTGGTGTAATGATCTGTACTGGCAAGGTATGATCTACCTGAAAAATTCTTAGTCACCTTGTTTCCCCTGGCCGCCCACCTGCTTCCATATATCTGTGTATGGAGGGCATATTTTCTGGTTGAATGAACACTGGGTTTACCTGCCACAGATGAATCCCTGATTCTCCTCGGCAGTATCAGCCAAATGCAAGCTTTCCAGGCACAAGATTTCGACGATTCGAATCACGGCACTGGGCTCGTTTGCCCTCTTGTGCTCACATCTTATGTGCATAGATTAGGCTTCGCAGTAGGTTAAGCCTGAAGTGGTTGATACCAGAGTCGCCCTGGTCAATGTGGGGCATGTGTCCGTCATTTAGCACTGCTGAATCACTCACTACTCTTTGTTGCTTAATTGGTACAGTAGTAGCTACAAACAAGCGAGACTGCTGCGACATATCACTTGTTTTCTCATGCGATGAATTGATCCTCTGTGATATCCACAAACCGAGTCGAATTTGGTTATCCATTCTTTTCTCTTGCAACAAATCATAGCTTGGTGAAAACAATTGCCATCTGATCTGCTGCAGATAGAGGAGGCGGCCAAGGGCTCAGGCACAGATGTGGACTCGTCGGCAAGAACTATTCTAAACTAGAAAGACGGCACGGGTGAAAGCGATTGCTTCTTAACTTTCTTTTTTATTTTTATGTGTGGAGAAATTCTCATAACTTGCTAAAGCAGGCGTGGGGACATGGTCGGAAATCCCACACCGGAAAACTTGAGGTGAAACGCGTCTGAGTTGAAATAAAGTGGTGAAATTCGGCTACCAGTTACCATTTGGGGCAGAAAAGGCTTGGGGTCTACTCCCTCCATAAACGCTCTTTTACTTCTTTATTACAGAGGGAGTAGTAGTCTTTTGTTTCCAACTTTGTCTTGAAACGGCAGGCCGCAGGCGTCAACTTGTTGACTTGGTGCATCCTATTTGTCGAGTCTGATCTAACCCTTTTTAGCCACCGCAACCGCAACCGCGCGTTTGCGTTTCTTCCACAAGAGATTGATGTCTCTGTGCACGCCACCATGTTGAGGAAAAAACGCTGAATTTGGAGTGTGGTCGTGAGAGGAGCGAGCGCCTGTCTATGTTTAGCAGCATAGAGCGGCTGCGTTTTCGAACAAAACAAAATGGCAGGTGCAGATACCACATTTACGTTCCTGGCTAACAAATGCAGCATTATCATTCATGAACGTATCTTGACGCATTATTACCTACTCCCTCCGTCCCAAAATGAGTGTCTCAGGGACGGAGGGTGTGGAGTAGTATACTAGCTGCCGGAGTATTATTTTTTTCTTTTACTGCGAGGCGAGGTGATCGTGTCCGTCTTCCAAGCGATCTGCTCTGCTTCGAGGCTCCGCTGAATCCAGCCGTTGAAACTTGACAAGCACCCTTCCTTTGTCGCGACGAGAGCTGCGATCGGCTGCTGTTTTGGCGCACGGTGAGCTGTGATGTCTGTCTCAGGAAAACAAGCAGCAGATTCTCAAAAAAAAAAAAGAAGGAAGGAAAACAAGCAGCTCAGCTCAAACAGAAACGCGACGCGACGGAGCTTAAACAATGGGGCGGCCGGCCATGCCCCGCGGCTCGGTCTCGGGTGTTTGGTTAGATATATAATCATGGCCTTCGACGGACGCAGCTTAAACAATCGGCTCGGCCGCCATAAAAAACACTGTGCCGCTGCCTCCAACTGACCCTGACACGATAAAGAAGGGAACTCAAACCCTTGATGAGCAGCAGTTGGGACATCGGTCAACCGGACACGGACCGGCGTCCCGACACTCGTCAGCCGTCACGACGGCAGGACAAGCGCCCTGCGCCAAAAAGATGTCGTTTTCTAGCACCACTACATGGTACTCCTGCCCAAGCGGAACGGCGCAGTTGGTTCGGCAATGGTACGAGTAGATTACCCAACAGATGGTAACGCATTTGCAACAGTGATTGGATCAGATCAGCCTTGAGCCAATCATGCCAGTACTGATGACATCTGCGTGTAATAAGTCAATGCAGGTTACTATGTGGCTTGAACGGCCGGGGCTTGGATTTATTTACGAGAACCGGGAGGTGTGGTGGCCCTGCTATTTAAGGAACGAGTATAATGGCCTTCTCCATCCCGTTTTCCCGTGCCCTCCTTTGATTTCCTTGGCCTCTCTCTCTCTCACGTGTTTATTTTGGCAACCTACTGTAGCTCGGACGGACGGACAGACGGCTTATAATTAGCAGCTGCAGCGGCGCCAGTGAAAACGGCAGGAGAGGAAGAGGGGAAGGCGAAAACCAAACCACGCATGCAATTTATAGGAGTACCTTGGACTTAACCGGCGGAGTAGCAGAGTTCTACTCTACTTATTTTAGCGGCCTCTCTCTCCACGAGACCTCTCCTCTTCTCCCGCGGTGCATGCTCTTCCATTGGGTAACTACCGATGAGCCTTACGGTTCCATCTTTCTTCCTTTCCTTCCGCATTGCCGAGCAACGTTGTTGTGCTGGATTGTGAATCTTCTTCTTTCTTCCTCGTCCACTTTTCGTGCCGTTTCTGAATCTTGTAGTATTATGTTATTTATATATATTTTTCTCGTGAAAAAACACCATCTTATTTACGTTCTTATTACTATGTTGCCGGGTCTTTCATAGTTCGTGTCCTCAAGTTGTAGATCACCAGAATAAAG